TATTTCATTTTCCTTTATTGTTTGATATAATGTTTAATTTAAGTGTGGGGGAAAATATGCTTTTTGAACTTAAATGTTTTTGAAAATTGTGGTCCTATTTTTGCTTTCAAACCAAATTGACATACTAAATCTCATTATGATGCTCACTTAGTTAACTTTGTATAATTTTTCAAGAATGATTAAAGTATGATATGAAGCTTAATTATGGAGACAGTGAAACTTGAAAAGAATTTTTAAGCATGGCTTTCTTTAGATATGATTATTATACATATGTTTCTATTCTCTTTTAATGAACTGCTATAATTTTTGTGAAAGTTTGTAAAATGTGGCATTGCATGAAATTTGAAGATATGAATAAGTGCTCTAGAATTCACGTACTTAACCTTTGAGGTAAGATCCTAGACTATACTTGACTCAAAAGATGATCTAGGTAGTTATTTGAACCATTTAAGCCTTTTTCAAGCCACCCCTGTTATGATGCATCCCTAGTATCTATACTTTGAACTTATTATATTATTTCCTTTTCTTTGTTAATTTAACCACATAATAAGCCAATAAGCCTTTTCTTTGACTATTATCCTTTCTTTTGTTTACCAGACCTAATTGTACTTAGTTATGTATTATGAACATTTTTATGTGTTTAAGAGGAAGGGAGGTGCAAGGAATAAAATGAAAGAAATGGCAAAAGCAAAGGCAAAGCCCAACAAAAGCAAAAAATGGATATATATATATATTTTTAAAAAAAGTCATGAATAAAAAGAATAAAGTGATGCCTCACAAGTCACAGTTTCAAAAAGAGCTCCAATTGCTCTAAGTCCAAGAAATTCAAAGAAAGTAAGATTAGAGTTTATAAGCCTAAATTTTTTTTTTTTACCTGGATCCAAGCCTTACATTACAAGCTTAAAAGACCTTTTGATTTTGAGTTAAGTATGTAAGTCTAACATTAGTGGAGAGGGATGGGGAAAATGAATATAAGAAGTCTATTCTATCTTTGAGTTGAAATGTGATGAAGTATTTTGCATTTTTTTTACTTGAGTTATATACAATAACTAAAGATTGAGTAGATGTATATATGTATTAAGCATAAGATATTGAAAGCTTATTTTTGAAGAAAATTCTTGTAACTTTATATCTATAGTTAGCTTTGTATTATGCAATAGTGCATGATAGAAATTTTAAGTAATTTTAACTTTGTAAGTATGTAAATGGTTCTTTAGTTTTGTTGATTTGAGGTTTTACATGAGAACAAGCAAAGATTTAAGTGTGGGGGTACGATAATATCAAATTATATAGTGTTTTTACATGTTAAAAATGGTGCTAAATTTTAAATTTTAGATTTTTTGATACATTTTATGTTGTTTTCATGATTTAGGGTTTCAAGTTCATTTTCATGCAAGTGATGAATACAAGCATAAAAGAAGCATTTTTAACCCAATCTTAAAGCTCATAGTCGAACCATATTGATCCATATTACTCTATCTATATGACAAGATAGAGTTTTACTTGCACAAAGACGCTCCCATAATGCATTGCATTTAGTTACTTATAACTTAAAGAGGATTGCATGCAAGTTCAAGCTCATATGGACTCCAACATGTTTGGCCAAAAGAGATTTAATCTTAGAGTGTCTCTTTTGTTTAGCCATGAAGGAATTTTACTTGCATAAGGACTCTATATACATTTGGCTAGCCCACTTCTAAGAGAAAATCAAGCACACATGTGATATTTGAAGAATTTCAAGCTACTAAGAACTTTAGCATGATCGGCTAAAGGTGTTTTATCTAAAAAAGAACTCTATCATTTGGCCATGCAAATAGAAAGCTTAGTTTGCAAGTTTAAAGACTTTCCAATCTTTATCATATTTAGCAAGACCCAGTTCAAGAAAGTCTTCATGTAATTTTCACCAAAATAAAGACTAGATACATTTGGCCAATGAGAGTTTAAAAAGGATTATGACACTTTGACTTAGCTTTAAAGAGTTTTGCTCAAAAGAAGACATTATATCTTTAAAAGTTGGATGAAATTCAAATTCTTGCACTTGAAATCCACCTTAACCAAATCTAAAAGTGGAGATTTATCAACATTTAATCAAGCATTGATCAAAGGCCAAGAATGCATCCTAAAGACCTATTTGCTGAAACTAAAAAAGGGAAAAAAAAGGTTTAAAACTTAGAACAATAAAAGAAAAAATCTTGGAAAAAATATTTTTTTGATTAAAAAAATAATTTGAAAAATAAAGCTTTGTTATTGGTAAATCTATCATTTAAGCTAATAACTAAACTAAAGAAATAAAAGAACTAAAAAATAAAAACAAAAAAAAAAGAGAGAAATGAGGATTGGGATGATGTAATGGGTGAATGGTCTCCCTATTTATAGAGTGGGATTTGGCCAAGGGGTTAGGCTTCGCAAGATGTATTTTCAAATTCAAACTCTATGTGATAAGGCTCATCTTCATATTCTAAGGATGCATGATCGAATAGGACTTTTCTTCCTTGAGTATGCTTTACAAGTTTGATTCAAGCGCTCTTTTACTTTTTACAAGATTCGGCTATAACCTTTGATTCTTTTCAAGTTTAAATTTTATGCACTTTTCCTTTTTTACTCTAAGCATTTGGCATTCCCAATTTCTCTTTATTTTTCAAGTTGCAATAAATTCTTTTAGATTTTATTTATGGCTATATTCTTTTACTTTCCAAGTGACAATTGGTAAAGTCAAGATTTAAGCCTACATTTACTTCAATCTTTCTTTTCTTTGTTTTGCAATCAACCCTAATCTTTCATTTGTTTAAATGTAGGAATCAAAGATCTAGCCTTTAGTTATTGTGAACAACTCAACATTGCAATCTATAATTCCTTGAGAGACGATACTAGAATATTTTCATTATTATTACTTGATCTATGCACTTGCAAGCTATACGAGAAGTAGCAATCAATGATTGCAACCATACAGGTGATTATGAAAACTAGTTTTGATTTCAATCATTGTTATTGATATTGAATTAAGGAATGAATTGAATTTGATATGTATCTCACTCATAACACTCATAAGAACAAGTATAATTTCAGTCTCTTGAGGATACATATTTCACCACCTCAAAGGAATAAGAAAGAGAACTCTAAAAACTCTAGGGATACAAAATCTCTCCACCTAAAGTAAAGAGTTAGAAAAGTTCACCACTTTCAGAAAATATACCTAAGCGATATATAACTTAAAAAAATAAATACAAAGTTTAGTTTTTCATTCAAAGTATCATTTGTTGGAATTTCATTACATATGGGGTATTTATAGATAAACTTGAAACATCCTTCCAAGAATAGGAAAAGCAAAGTTGAAAGGCAAACACAATTAATACAAGCATAATCAATATGCTAAAAACACAATTATAATGCTAAAAATCATTAACAATACAAATTATAAAAACACATAGGGTTCTCTTTTGGAGTTGGAATTGTAGCAACTAAGAAAGCATCTAAGGAGTATCCCATGCTCAATAGTCTAATTGGAGCCTTGGTAATTTATTCCTCATAATGTGTTATGCACTTTTCCAAATTTGGCCTTGTAGAGATTAAATATGGGCCTTGCTTATTTTTGATAAATTGAGCTGGCAGAATCTTATTCTTTTAACTTGGACTTTTGAATTGCAAAGCTAATCTCAAAGGGCTTATTTGGACTTTTATGTAGCTAGACCCAATAGACATTAATTGGAGACTTGATTCTGTATCAATTTTGAATCATTGACATTCCCATGTCAGTTACCAAGTAAGTAATCTTTGGAGGTTTGGTTTTGTTTGTTTAAATTATGCTTTTAATTTTACTTCCATTATGCATGAATATTGTATGAGTGTGATCTGAAACCCAACAAAACATCTAACCTAAAACTAATTGATTGAGACCTAACTTGAATATAAAACCATAAAATATTTGATATTTAAAAAATATAGGATAACATCACTTTAACAATCTTCTATCAAGTGTAGGTGAAGATAAAAGTTTACCACTTGACAAACTTAGAATAAGTAACAAGCAAGAATAATAGAACAAAATCTGTGCCTCATACCATATTTTAGGCACAAACAAATAGAGAGGGTTATGAACAAAGTCGTTTTGATACTATGTTAAGTTTTAAATAATAGTGTTTGTGTGTGAATGAAGATGAGCAAGAGAAACGGCATGAAGATAAGAACATAAAAGAATATGTGATTCAACCATGTTAAACTACATCCATAAGACAATGACCTAAAAGACTACATAGTTAACATTTTTACTTATATTTTGACTTATGTAAAAAATACATATAGCCCATATATATATGTAAGGCTCTTATTAATTAAGCAAAAAAATTCATATAATATCGTAATCTTAGATATTTTTCTAAGATAAAGAGTTCAAAAAACCATTGAACAAAAATTTAATAATTATTTAAACCTTTGATATTTTATTAAGATCAATCATGTCCTTCATCTTTTATTTTGACCTAGTTGAACACTTAATTGGACAAAATTTAGTAATGTGGCAAAACTAAATCAATCATTCTCAAAATTGCAGTTAATTAAACCCTTAAAGTGATCTTAAAGAGAGAGAGAGAAAAAAAAATAAGGAAAAAATTTAATTTATTTAATTTTCACATATATTAATTACGTTACATTACAAATTTTCACATTTTTTATTGATGTCATATTGAATTTTATTTTAGTTGGTAAAAAAAATTAACAATGTTAAAATTTTCATCTAAATAAAAATTTAATTGAATGTAAATAAGTATTAGAAGGGTTTATTGATTATAATAAAAAAAATTTAAATGATTTTTTACCTATAATTTAGATACTTTTTGTATCTTTTAACCTTTTTTTAATTACAATATTTTAATTTCTAATATTATATTTGATTAGATCGGTGTAAAATATTAACATATTTAAATAGGTAAAACTAATTCTTACTTAGATACAAGTTCTAAGCTAAACAAGGATCAAAGCATATTAATTAAAAGAATATGAAAAAAAAAAAAGAAGAAGCGTCCGCAGCTACGGCAGCACATGTTTTGGCCAGCTTATTTGGTTCGAAAAATGATTATCAAAAACAGACTACACTATTTAGTCCCTCAAAAACGATAACAAAACAGTGTCAGTCTCAATACAGATCCATACATCTCTCTCTCAAAAACTGTAATTCTCTGACTCTCTAACTGGCAAGTGATTTTCATTTTCTCTGTACATCCCAAACCCTAATTAATTTTAATTTTTCTTTTTCTAATCGATTATCATAAATAAAAATATTCAATTCGATCTCCATTACTCGCTTGTTCTCAATTTCCATTCGTTTTCTTTTGTTATTGTTTTTCTTTGTCTTGTTATTACTATTTGATGATTCGTTTGGTACCCGGGAAAACCAAAGGAAATGAAAAGAAATGGATTTTGATTGAGAAAAAAAAAAAAAAGAAACTTCTCAAAAAGACTGAAACTAGTTGCCGTATCTCTCAAAAAGAAATGCATTTGTTATTTTTCTAGGATTGACTTTCTGTTTGATCGAAAGGGAGAAATTAGGTCTTTCTAGTTGCCGTGATATTAGTTTCTTGATTTGGACATGTTTTTAACAAGGATTTTGCCTATTAATACCCGTTTTAGATAAAGAAAAAAGTGGTATAGTACATGTAATTTTGATTTGATCTCTATTAACAGCTATATATATGTTTTGACAAGTTTTTTGTATTAATCTACTGGAATGTATTGCCACTTGTTCGTTGATGGAATTAGGTTTGTGCGTAAATGGTAAAGAATTAAGCATGCCATGTGTGCATATATCTCTTACAAAAATTTTATTTTTATACTGACAAATGCTTGCCAGACAATATCCTTCATATGTATATATACTTGTTTTTGTGTGCATGTGGTGACGGTTTGCGCTTATATATGTTTTCATGATTAAAGAGTTGTAAGGGAAATACAATTGATTTCTGTGGACAAGCATAGGCATGTGCTTGTGTCACTATGTCCGTGTATGAAAGTAGAAATTTAGGATAAAATATGTGACTGATAGTTTTGTTTTGGTTTACATAGGAAATGGGGGTATACCTTAGCACCCCGAAAATTGAAAAGTTCTCAGAGGATGGTGAAAATGACAGGCTTCGATTTGGACTGTCATCCATGCAAGGATGGCGTGCAACTATGGAAGATGCTGTAAGTTCTCTCTGTAATCTCATTGTTTAACTTAATGTACTCTGTCTTTGAATCATTAACTGAAGGCCCCCAGTTAACAATTAACTATAATATCTGCTTATCCTGTATGTATTATATGCTTCTTAACACTTAAATAATATCTAGGATATGGTCAATATCCTATGTTAAATATATGGAATTAACATAATATATGCTTATCTTGCATCTAGTATATGTTTCTTAACATGGTGTTAAGTATCGTGTAGCTTTTAAGCTGAGTGCTAGGATTGCACCATCAGAAGGCAGTGGCTTTAGAAATTGCCTTAATGCTTTAGTGAGATTTTTAAAAATATCAAATCAAATGTATTATGAAGATTGTTAAAGTGAATTTTCTACTTTTGTAAGTTGATTGGAATGGCTTGCCAATTAACTGATATATAATTTCTTATTTAAAGTTACTTCATAGCTTTGTTTCTTTGTTTCTAAAGAAATGTGGTTAAAATAAAGAAGACTGATCCTATACATTTTAAAAAGTAAGACATATTTCAAAGTGCATCTGTTGTTGACATTGGTCATAAATGGAAGCTAAGGAATCAAATGACATGATTTACAAGCTAAAGATAGAAGCATTCATTTAGTATGACTGAAGATCCTGTACATAGTAATGTGATATCCATGCCATAAGGGTGCATAAATTTCTATTTTTTGTTTTGTTTTCTTTTGTTTTCTGGGGAGGTTGGGGGGAGGGGCTATTCACATCAAAAGTTTGACCATTTGGACTCTAGATTGGTCCTTTGGATTGAATCTCACTAAGACCTAACATCTTAAAGGAAAGTAGAAACTCCTATCTGAATAGATTATTTTTGCTTTAGGTGTGTGTGTGCATGCCTATGTGCTGTTTTTGAAAGTAATTGCCTGATGCTTGTCCAACTGTGTTTAAGACTTGTTATGTCTAAGAAGTTAAGGGATATAGGGTCCTTGTTAAAAGCATGCATTCAATGTCAATTGGTGATTATTTCCTTTTTCTCCAAGGACAATTTATCTACCTCTGGATAACACAATTTACCTTAAATGATGCTATGAATTTACTTTTGTGGTTTTTGCAGCATGCAGCTTATCCAGATCTGGACAACTTGACATCATTTTTTGGTGTTTATGATGGTCATGGAGGTAAGGATTTGAACTCTTTTTTTTTCATTTAATTTTTCTTACAACCCTTTTTTTCTTTAAAATGTATTTAAAGTTCATGTTTCAGTCAAGTTTTGTTTCCTTTTCGGGATTCTGTTTGCTTTCTTCCAAATATAATTTCAGTCTTTACTGACCAGCAGTTGTGTTTGGTCTAGCAACTGATGAAGCAACTAGAGTAGAATTATGCCTTTAAATATTGAGGTTTTGTGATGTTACTGGATTCAAACTTGTTGACATCTGAGTGTGTTTAATATATATCATTGGAGGCATTCAATTTTTCTGTTTGTATGTGTTTCTTTTTCTTTTTTTTTTTTCAAAAAATTATATGTAGCTTTGCTTCAAGTGTATGCAAAGATGCAAACTTGCTTGCTTAGAAACGTTTTTGTTGACAACTTTTAAGTTTCAACTTAGAAAAAAAAGGAGGAAAAAGAAAATGCTAAATTTCTTGTATCAAAGGATGAATCTCATCGAATCTTGTCTTTCCTTCTCTTATTTCTGTTTCTATCACATAGTCTATTGATATGAGATAATTAGCTGAAGATAATGTTGACAGTTGTTGGTCCCATTTAGCATACAAGTGCCTTAATTTGTTGAACTATTTCCTTTTGTCATATTTTAAATGAATGGTTTTATTATTTGAAGGCACCTATAGTGTCAAGTTGAGAATGATAATCATTTTAAAATTTGACTTGTGCTGATACACCAATTATATTGGTAATAATTCTGAATTGTACCATCAAACATTGAGTGAGTGGTAGAAAGCAAGCTGCAATTTTGGACTTGCTCATTTTGTGTTTTGATGATTTTTTCTATTAGAAAATGGTAGAGGGATTGGTGTTGGTCAAGTGCAATTACTGGATGGGTGAGGCCTGCCTGGATTGGGGATGTCATAGTTGGCATTGCTAAAAGGTCATGAATGGTGCCTAGGATGGGATTTTGGTTTCAAGTTCAGCATCCACCTCAGTGAGGTCCTTAAGATGCTTCTTTATTATTATTAGAAAGAAGGGTCTAGAAACTCTACTCATGCTTGAGATTTCTATGTAATGTATAAAGCGCTTATATCTGGCTGCAAAGTTTCTTGTTCTGTGATTCTTTTTGTTCTTCTGTTTTCTCTTAGTGTCCCTGACTTTCTGCAAAATTTGAATGCTTTGAAATATTGATGTGTTCAAATTGATGTATTTTGAACAACTTCATATATAGATGGTAACTTACTTTTCAGAAAGTTTTTTTTGTACACCTAGGTTATTTTATGCGCAGTTAATATTATTTGTAATGTTTCAAGTTTCTAAACTTAGGGAGAAAGTATTTAATTCACATTAGTTGTATAGGTAAAATATTGGTCTCTAGGGAAAGTTTACCTATTATCATAACTTTCTAGTGTTCTTGAAGTCTTAAATATAGAAGTTGAGCTGCTTATGTTTTGCTCTTTTTCCCTTTTTTCTTATTGGAGCTTTTATGATTTTCAAAGCCTTTATCCTATTGAATGAATTGTTTACCTGATTAAATTCTTTGTGCTAAGCCTTTGAAGTATAATCTATGTGGGTCATTTTATCTGCAGGTAAAGCTGTGGCTAAGTTTTGTGCCAAGTATCTTCATCAACAGGTGCTCAAGCATGAGGCATATTCAGCTGGAGATATTGGGACTTCAGTACAGAAAGCTTTTCTCAGGTTCCTTTACTGGATTTATTTGCATTATTCTTTTGGTTGGCGATATTAGGAAGATGAGTCATAGCTGAAGCAGAAGGTGGCTGAGAAGGTGCCTTTGACATTTAAATTACATTTTCTAAGTTTCCTGGGAATCAGGAAATGGACCGTGTGCTTGGAGCTTATGATCATTACCACTCATATTTTGTTAATGCATATAAATGATCATTTTAAGGTTTTCCTTTTATCTAATGAATTCATTCTGACACTGATGCAATTGCGGTTTCATATTGCCGTAATGTTACTAGGTTTTTAATGGATGAGCTATTTATAGCTCCATTCTGGCATATGCTATTGCCACTGCATCTTTGACTGTTTAGGTCATCGTTGTCTAGCATTTTTGCTTTTTCCCTGTTTATTTGTAATATAAGAGTATTATGAATTTAATTTCAATGGATAAAATATGATATAAATTTTGGTGCATGTTGGTTAGTTGTTTCTTCTGCTATACATGCATCCAACTGCTGTTTTATTGATCATGCAGAATGGATGATATGATGTGTGGACAAAGGGGATGGAGAGAATTAGCGGTCCTGGGAGGTAAGATAGACAAGGTTTCTGGTCTTATTGAAGGGCTCATATGGTCTCCTAGGGGTGGTGAAGCCAATAACCATTTAGATGATTGGCCTTCTGAGGAGGTATTTTTATGATAGACAACTGAGCTTTTTAGATGTATGAAGCAATTTTATTTTGAATTTACCTTTCTGATCACTGGGCATTTGGACTAGAAATTTTTCAATGAGATCTAAGCTACATGGCTTTAAATGTTTCTTTGGTTGCTGTGATTGTTCATGCCAAGGAGTATAATAAGTTTGCGACTTACCCGATTCCTATGCTATCAATATAAGTAATTATATGTTCTAGTTTTTGGTATTAGTTGTATTCTTACATGATAAATCTCTTTACAAATAAATTTTTTCATTTTCTTTTTTAGTAAATTGGAAAAAAATTTTGATGAGAATACTGATAAAAGAAGCTTTGTGTCTTTGCAGTTTATACAAATATTTTTAATACCATTTTTTTTGTGAATATTAATAAAACATTTAACTTTAACAACCAATACTGTTTTTAGGAAATGAACTTAATTGAACCAACTCTATGAAGTAATGGATGTAGGATTTAGTAAAGTTTGCTATTTCCCTTTTGGTGCTAGATCAAGAGACAGTTTTTAACTAAGGAAAAGAAAAGTTATTAGAAATTTTTTGAGTTTTTCGATGAGTTTTTGAGAAGCCTAAACAACAGAAGATGGATAAATTAGAGGAGAAAGAAGATCTTTGTTGAGGTTTATATTTTTATTAAAAGGAGCTTAATATGAACTGGTTTGGAAAGTAATTAAGAAGCATGTGGACGCTTCTCTCTAGCATTAAAAGGGGTCAAATTCCTGTTCTTTTTGCCTTTGACTTAGCAGATGAAAATTGAAAAATATGAAGGAATTGGCATTCAGTCCAGTGTATAGTTTGGGGTTGTATATTTAAGAACTTTTACTGCCCCTGCATCAGACATTTCCTTGAGGATATCCTGCAGGTCGCCCTAGGATTATGAATTCTTGCTGTTACTGTAGAAAACTTAAATATCAATTGTCCTTATTTCTTCTTATTTTATCTACAATGAAGGAGTACATCTAAATAAATAGGAATAGTGAAGTTCTTTATTAGGAAACAACTTATATGAAACAGAAAACAAAAAATAATGAAAGGAAGGAGAATTATTCTAGTCTAAAATAGAAACCAATTCCTAAAAACTTGACAATCAGAATAGTTGACTAAATCAGAAGAGTAAATAAGAATTATTCTCAAAGTAAATTAGGAAATCAAGCTGCATTAATGTAGTAGAATTAGATTTCTACACTCCCCCTCAACTTGGGTTATGAATGTTAATCATACTCATCTTGGATTTCAATCCGTCAAAAATGCTTCTAGGAAGAGTTTTAGTCAGAATATCTGCAATTTGTGAACTTGTAAGGATATAGGCCAGTTTGACCGACCCATTTTCTATCTTTTTCTTTATGAAATGTTGGTCTAGCTCTATGTGATTAGTCCTATCATGATAAACAGGATTTTTGGCGATACTTATAGTAGCCTTGTTGTCACAAAACAATGTCATAGATGTTGCAGTCTGAACTTTTAATTCTCCAAGTAACCTTAACAGCCAAATTCCTTCACAAATACCATGGGACATTGCTCTAAACTTAGCCTTAACACTGCACCTAGCTCCAACAGCTTGCTTTTTACTTCTCCAAGTGACCAAATTGCTCCAAGCATAAGTGCAATATCCAATAGTAGACCTTCTATCTGTTACTGATCCGGCCCAGTCAGCATTTGTGTACATTTCAACTGCCCTGCCCATTGACTTCTTAAAATATAGACCTTCACCAGGACTTTTCTTTAAGTATTGTAGGATGTGATGAACAGCCTTGAGATGCTCCTTGTTTGGATTATTCATGTATCAAATCACCATCCCTATTGGAAACCCGATATCAAGTCATCTATGGGAGAGGTAAATAAACTTCCCAACTAGTCTTTGGTCTCGCCCTTTGTCCATGAGAAAGCTTTCATTTTTACTTCGAATTTTATTAGTTGAGTCCATCGGTGTATTGGCAAGTTTGCATCCAATCATGCCGGTTTCTTTGAGTAGATCAAGTACATACTTACACCGAGACATTGATATTCCATTCTTAGACCGTGCCACTTCCATCCCTAGGAAATATTTAAAGAACCCCAAGTCCTTTATTTCAAACTCCTTTGCAAGGAGTTTTTTCAAATTATCTATTCCTTCCTTGTGGTCTCCGATGATTATGATATCATCTGCATAAACGATAACAATAACTCTTTTTCCTTCATTAGTGAACTTAACAAACATAGTATGGTTAGATTGACATTGAAAGAATCCATACCTCTTCATTGCCTTGGTTAACCGTTCAAACCAAGCATGAGGAGATTCTTTAAGTCCATACAAAGATTTTTGGAGTTTGCACACTTTGCCCATGTTGTCTTGCCTTTCGAAACTAGGGAGAATTTCCATGTAGACATCCTCCTCCGAGTCACCATTTAAGATTGCATTCTTGATATCAAGTTGGTGGAAAGGCCAATCCAAGTTGGCTGCTAGTGACAATAGAACTCTAATTGAATTGAGTTTGGCTACTGGAGCAAATGTCTCCTCATAGTCTATCCCATAAGATTGAGTGAACCCCTTTGCAACATGTCTAGCTTTGAACCTATTTATATTTCCATCTACATTGTGCTTTATTGTGAAGATCCACTTACATCCAACTGCGTTTTTTTCTTTGGGCAAATATGAAATTTCCGATGTCCCATTTTTCTCTAGTGCCTTGATTTCTTCAAGAACTGTTGCCTTCCAATCTGGTTCATTGAGGGCTTCCTGAATATTTTTTGGAATTTGCACATTGTCAAGATTAGTAGTGAAGGCTCTTTGGATTTAACCTTTCATATGAGATGTACTTGTAGTTAGGGTACCAGACGCATGATCTCACACATTTTCTTAATGCAATAGGAATGTTAAGGTCACCAGTTGGCTTACAAGTTTCAGTTTCAGATTCAATAGGGACATTACCTGTGTTAGTTTTAGGTTCTTGGAGACTCCGATCGGGTTGATTTTTAGTGCTGGGCTGTGAACGGTTGTCCATTTCTTCCCGTGGTTTTTGCTTCCTTGAGCAGATTATCAATTTTTTGTTTTTTTCTCTTGCATAACCTTAGGGTTTGAAGAATCAAAAGTTGTCTGAACAGGTTGGGTTTCGAAATCTGCATGGCTGATAGGTTGGGTAGGTTGAGAATCTCGTTTTGAAGGGGCTGGTTGAGATTCTAGTTTTGAAGGGGTTGGTTGGGAAATTGGCAAGTCAACAGCTAAGAATTGATACTCCTAAGTAGTATTCTCCCCCTGAAGATCATTCTTGATGTAGGATGGAAGATATTCAAAGAAGGTGACATCCATAGAACTATAGAATTTTTTTGCGAAGGGTGAGTAACATCTGTAGCCCTTTTGGTTTGGGGAATAACCAAGGAAGATGCATTTTAAGGCTTTGGGATCAAGCTTGCTGCGGTTTTGTTGTCTAATATGAACAAAGGCAATGCAGCCAAAGAGTTTGATTGGAATGGAAGAGATCAACCGAGTTTGTGGGTAGGAAGCAAGGAGAGTTTGACAAGTTGTTTTAAAGCCAAGAACTCGAGAAGGCATTCAGTTAACCAAATAAGTTGGAGTGAGGGCAGCTTCTTCCTAAAAATATTTAGGAACATTGAAAGTCAACAAGAGGGATCTGGTTATGTCTATCAAATGTCTATTTTTGTGTTCGGCAACCCCATTTTGGGTGTCAACGCAAGAGCTTTAATGGATAATGCCATGATTGGTGAGGTAAGGGCCAAGAATGGAGTTGAAGTATTTCCTTCCATTGTCAGTTTTAAGGACTTGGATTTTGGCTTGGAATTGGGTTTGTACCATGCAATTGAAGTTTTGAAAGATTTGGCTAACCTTGGATTTTTCTTTCGTAAGGAATACCTAAGTGAGTCAAGTATGATCATTGATGAATGTAACAAACCACCTAGAATCTGTGATTTTGTTGACCCTTGACAGTTCCCAAATGTCATTGTGAATCATTGAGAAAGGCCGAGATGATTTATAGGAAAGGCTAGGGTAGGTATTTCTAGTGTGCTTGAAAAATTGACAAATTTCACACTGAAAATCTTTAGAGATGTTATTGAATAATGAGGGAAGTAGCCTTTTTAGGTATGAAATACTTGGGTATGAAATGCTTGGATGTCCTAATATATAATGCCATAAAATGATAAGGTCATCCTTACTAGTTTTAGAGGCTAATGCTGTACAAGAGTTTTTGTGGTCTCTCAAGCGCATCATCTTGAAGAAGGTAGAGCCCTGCACACATCCTATCATTGCCAATAATTCCCCCCAAAGCCCAATTCCTAAAATTCACACAAGTTGGGAAAAAATTTAGTGACACAACATCTATCATTCGTAAGCTTACTGATAGAAAGTAGGTTACAGCTTAGATTAGGGACATGGAGGACAGAGTCAAGCGTTATGTCTTTCGAAACTACAATAGAACCTGTTCTTGCCACCTTTGAGAGAGAGCCATCAACAATTTTTACAGCAAAACTATCATAGCAAGGTTTATATGTGTTGAATAAGAATGCATCTCCAGTCATGTGATCCGATGCTCTTGAATTAACAATCCAAGATTGTGTATTTCCCCGTTGAACACTTAAGGCATTTAGGAAATTACCTTTTTGTGCTAGTAAACTAGTTCCGAAGGTTGCAGATTTGTTTTGAAGGGTTTGTTGGAGCATCACCTTTTTGTGACTTTCCTCATTCCATACCTTTGCAGAAGAAGAGTTCTCATTCTTGCTAGCCATAATGTCTAATAGTTTAGGCCGACTTGCTCTGATACTATGTAGAAAACTTAAAAACCAGTTGTCCTTATTTTTTCTTATTCTGTCTACAATAAAAGAGTACATCTAAATAAATAGGAATAGTGAAGTTCCTTATTAGGAAACAACTTATATGAAACAGAAAGCAAAAAATAATAAAAGGAAGGAGAATTATTCTATTCTAAAATAGAAACAAATCCCTAAAAACTTGACAATCAGAATAGTTAACTAAATCATAAGAGTAAATGAGAAATATTCCCAAAATAACTTAAGAAATCAAGCTGCACTAATGTAGGAGAATCAGATCTACACTAATATACTAGAATCAGATTTCTACTGTTACTTTACTTGTACGCATCTTATGAACACCATTAGATATTAGTGACTTAATTATTTTAGTTAGAATTATGAAATCTTTATTGTTGGACCTTTTCCTTGTTTGAGCCTCTACCATGGATAGGAAAGATGGGAATGTTTTTAGACAAAGACATGTCTTCATTATTTAAATTTGGAAAAAGTGAACTTTGAATAGTTGGTACTTTATAGATAGGTGGATAGCAAACAATCATTATTAAATCATATGTTAGCTTGACTTTTAAGTTATAGTGGAGGAAAGAGGGATAATTGAAGTATCATATGTGTTGCTGACTTTAATATAATTTGTTTAATTCTTTGAATGTGATACTTTATGTAAGAAGCTTTTGTTTGACTTGTCAAATGTCTATTTGACCTGTGAAATTCTAATATGAAGTTTTGTTTTGGTTGCAAACTAGGGCCCTCACTCTGATTTTCATGGACCTACTTCTGGAAGCACAGCCTGTGTTGCAATAATTCGAAACATGCAACTTGTTATTGCTAATGCTGGTGATTCCCGTTGTGTAATATCTAGAAAGGGTCAGGTACAATTTTCTTTTCTTCTGCTGAACCATGAAAGCACAATTTCAAATTGTGTTTTCTTCTGCAGAAGCTTTTCTGAAGGCCTTTCAAAGTTGTGAGCTGAAGGGATGTTTGCTTTGAATGACAACTAGTGGTTTTGTCATAGGTTAATTCTAGCACTTTTAAATGACTGTTGTCCAGGCTATATTGTTGTCATGATTTAGGAATAAGATGCCGTAAGCAGGGCCCTGTGAGTATTTTTAGTGACATGGAAATGATTGTAGCAGATGTTCTTACCTTTTTCCATATGATTGGTGATAGGAGAGTGGAAAGCAGTGTTAATGTAATATAATCTTGTTACACTATTTTTCAATTTGCTTTCAGTATAATAGTCACTATATTTATTACTGAACTAGTCTCTAAAGCATTTATCCATGCTCCATCTCCAAAAATATTTTTAAGTTTTCTTTACTTCTCTCCTTGAATATGCAATAGGTTTCCTCTTTAAGGTGGCAGAGCTTAGCTGGTGCATTCTTTATTTCATAGAAGCTTCCTTTTACAGGCTTATAATCTATCCAAAGATCACAAGCCTGAACTTGAGGCGGAGAAAGATAGGATTCTGAAAGCTGGTGGTTTTATTCAAGTGGGACGTGTCAATGGGAGTTTAAACTTGGCCAGGGCTATTGGTACCTTCTAGATCCCATTTTAACTATTTTCTGTTGAGGGGAGATTGAGGTGTGTCGGGAGTGGGGAAATGGATCTAACATCAATTGCTTGTTGATCTATAATTGTCTTTCGCTTGCAGGAGATGTGGAGTTCAAACAGAACAAAACTCTGCCTGCTGAAAAGCAGATTGTAACAGCTAATCCAGACATAAACATTGTAAGTGAATAGCTGTTTTCTTTAATATTTGTGTCATTATTCAATTCATTCTATAAATTTTGATATTGGCCAATTGATTTAATGAATAAACTAAAGTAGCATTTGGTTTTAAAAAACAAAGTCATTTTTTATTTTCATTTTCTTGAAAAATAAAAAACATGAGTTAAAATGTGATTAGTAATTAAAGAGGAAAACAAATTAAAAAAAATGAAAATAGGTTGAAATATGAAAACAAAAAAAAGATGTTTTCAATTGTGAAAAATAAAAGATGTACATTATTTTTTCCTTATGTTTTATAAGTTACCATTTTCAAATACTTCTTAATGTCATTAATTAATAAATATATATAATATTTATAATTAGATACCATTAATAGTAATATCATTGAATATTTATTTATTTCCTTATTTTTACATTTTCATAAAACAATTTCTAATTTTGTTTACCAAATGAAATTTTTAAAAAACAAAAATATAAAATAAAAACTATTTTCTAAAAAATGAAAATAAAAAATAAAAACAAAAAATATTTTCTCAAATCGAACAAAACTTAACTTCTTTAAATATTCTTTTATCAAAATTAAAAAAAATAAGCAATCTATCTTTATTCTGTAATTTTAGTATCCCAGACGGATATATAAAACCTTTGCTGCATCATAAAATCAAGATATATCATGCCAATCGATGTTCTTATTCATCCCTCTGTTTATATTCTGTTTTTACCCTCTTTGAAATAGGTTGAGCTTTGCGATGATGATGAGTTTCTTGTTTTAGCTTGCGACGGGATTTGGTGAGTTTCTTTACAAGAGCTTGCATCATTTACCCACCTCTGACATCAACTTTAGATCCTTCCAGAATATTACTTGGGTACTGTTGAGAAAACTCTGTAATCTGCTCTAGGTGCATGCTGGATGCATCCATGCATGCCTACTTGCCAATCTTTCTGAAAGATTTGATATCAAGCAATTTGTCAGAGCATGACTTTAAGTTGGACTGGTGGATGAGTGGAGATTCATGTAGCCAATCCCAACTTAATGGAGCTAGGAATTATTTTATGTGTGTGTGTATGCATGCAAATATTTGTCTATGTATGCATGTGTGTATGTATATAAGTAGGTGTTGATGTGTGTATAAATTAAAGGGCTAAGGTGAAGAGAATGTGTCTCATTTATAGGTTCACTTGGGAGGTTGTAGGAGGGGTATTGTTGAGGATAGATAGGCAAGAAACAAAAAGTTTGGGTAAGGATGAAAAGAATGCTGCTAAATACTTGAAAATGGAAAGAGGTAGGCTATTTTTTCTGGGATGTGAGTAGGATGTCCAGAGGCGATTTATAGCTCTTACCATTGACCAGTATAGTCTTCTTTTCTATAAGATAAGCAAGAACGCCAATATTAATTTGTCTGACTGTAACTAATTTTCTTTACCTCTTTTGGCAAGTTAGTTTTTAACAAGCTTAATTTGATGTAAATCTTGGACTGATTTCTTTATGCCTGTCCATTGGACTTTTCCCTGTTTGTTTACAACTTTTATTTTTTTATTTTTGCTGAATTTGAATATTTTCATTGACTAGCATACTCCTTTTGGTTCCTCCCTGCCTCATCTTTTCTTGGTCATATGTTCTTGATTGTGGATGGGCATATGGGCTTTCTTCAGAAGAATATAGAAGAATCACACGTATGCAAAATTTAAATTATATATTGGACACCATTATGTAGAGGAATATGCTTTTTGGTTGGTAAGCGGGGTTATGAAACACATATGGATGTAATTAGAACATCATTTTATGCAAAAGAGTGAAATTTTTGTACATCTAACTCGAAAGTAGATGACGGTAGAATGATTTTTTTTTCTAGGATTCATTTCAAGTACTAAATGTGAAAATTGATACATAGAAAGATTTAGTCAGTGATGTCCATGTTAAAATATTACCAAGTTATTCCAATTTCTCAAAAATAAATTATGTGATCCTTCTCCTATTTTTGGAAAACATCTTGAGTGTATCTGAGTCTAGGGCAAGGAAATAGTTTTTGCAATATTGGTTATAGTTTGCTCTTTTCTGCCTGGTGTATGATGTTCTCTCAGTCAATTGTTATATTAGAACTCATAGTCCTCCACCTGCTCTGTACAATGGTGGAAGAGGGCTACTTTTTGATTTGTTCCTCATCCAAATTAATCATCTGAATCTTAGTAAACATTAGTGACTTAGATGATATTAGTTCTTTTTATTAATTCGATTCTAATATTTTTCTGTTTTTATTTTTTTTTTCACCAGGGATTGTATGTCAAGTCAACAACTAGTGGATTATGTACGAGAGCAGTTAAACTCTGTAAGTTCCTTCAGAGCCCTCTCAAAGCATTTTAAACCTGTCAATACAAAGATTTCATTATTGAACACTGCTAAGCCTGGTAGGATTGTTAAAGGTAAGATATGAGAAGAGTAGAATATTTTTCATTTTTATTTTCGAATTTTTATATTATACCTATCCTTATGAGTATTTAATGCGAATAGGTAATTTTAATACCCATAGCTCTAAAAAAAAAAAAAAAAAATTTATTTTTAAAATTTTTATTTTATATATTTAAGTAATTTTTTATTTTATAAATATATATTAATATATATTTTTTCAATAAAAAGATATTAAATTTAATTAATCTAAAATAATAATTTATATTATTTAATAAAAAATATATTTACTAAATATATATATATAGGGTAGGTAGGGGCTCTATATTATTCATTTTCATCTCTGTACGAAATAAAAATTTAGAATGATACTTATTTCCATCTCCATTTCTATACTTACAATGTAATAATCATTTTCATCCCCGGGTAAAATGTATGATTCATTATTGGGTATGGTATAATTGATTACAGGGTAAGATTGACAACCCTAAAACCTGGTGAATTATATGTGCATTCTTTCCTGTGCAGGAAACTAAACTCTCAGCTATCTGTGAGAGAGTATTTGACAGGTGTTTGGCTCCAACAGCCGGTGGCGAGGGATGTGATAACATGACGATGATCCTTGTTCAGTTCAAAAAACCCGTTGGTTCAGGTAATTCTTCTTCGGAGCAGCAGCCACCATTGACCGATCAAACACCCATCACTGATAAAAGTACATTGGAATCTGGATCCTAAGAAGCATTATCCTACTTTCATTGACCAAATCACTACCCATTAAATTAAAAGCTGTAAGCGAAAAAGCATATGATGCTTATTTTTCACATTTAGGAAGTGATTTACGATGATATGATTATTATATATGTTCCAAAGTTTTTGATTGAATGGCTCAGCTATTAAGGGTTTTTGTACATTTGTTAAATTTTGTGCTTTATCTTTGAAATTTAAGTGGTTTTCCATGATTCTACCAACATTTATACTATATAATTAAAGCAATTCATAGAAAATTACTATATTACTCATTCAATTATTTCAACATTATCAGTTAAAAAGTATAATAATACCTTTTTCTCATAATCAGCAAAAATTATTATAATATTTTTCTATCTGTAATTACAAAATGTTTTTTTATTATAATTGGTAAAATTTACTATATTGCTTCTCTTGCTGTAATTATAAAAATGATTCTTTATTATAATTATGAAAATGATTCTTTTATCATAATTGATTAACTATAATTAAAAGTAATTTTTTTGAAAATTATAATATTGTTCCTTTAATTGTTGGATAATTTTTATAATTGTTCAAAAGAACAATAATATCCTTGCTCTTGTAATTAAATAAAATTATCATAATACTTCTTTTATCATAATTGATCAAAATTATTATAATGTAATGCGTTTATCATAATCATTAAATTTTTTTTAATCACAATTGATCAAAATTATTATAACAGTTCATTTATCATAATTATGGTATGACATATGACATTTTATTTAAATTTATTATACTATCTTTATTAAATTATATATTAAAATTTACTACAATATAAAATTAATTAAAATTTAAATTACTAAATACTCTTATTAAATTACATATTAAAATTTACCATAATATAAAATTAATTACATTTTAAATTGCTAAATATCCTTGTCATTGCATCATAAAAATTATATAAAAAGTTTGCTAGATATTAAATTATTATAGTAAAATAAATCTATACAACACATTAAAAGTAATCTCATAGGAAAATTACTATAACACCCTTTTAATTAATTGATTACTAGCTGACATATGTCTAAATTTATTATAATGCCCATTATTCTATAATTAGCCAAAATTATTATAATACTTTTCTATAATAATTACAAAAATAATCTTGCTAACATAATTGGTCCAAAATTACTATAATGTCTTTCTTATTATAATTATGAAAATATCTTTCTATCATACTTGGTCATAACTATTATAATACCTCTTCCTAACATAATTATAAGAATGCTTTTTTTACTATAATTAATCAAAATTATTATAATATTTCTATTAAAATACATATTAAATTTTAATAAAATATAAAATTAATTTTATATGAAATTACTAACATGCCCTTACCATTCCTTCATGGAAATTAGACATGTGGCATTTTATGAAAATTATTACAATACCTCTATTAAATTATATATTAAATTAATTATATAAGACTTAACTAATCTTAAATTACTATAAGTCTATATAATATATTGAAAGTAATATCCTATGAAAATTATTATAAAAATATATATCATTTTTAACATAAATAATAAATATATTTTTATAAAAATAATAAATAAAATTTGACAAAATTATCAGCTCCGACATCACGGGGCAAAAATCTAATATCATTTTAGTGCAAAGTAGGTCTTTTGTTTGGTAAATGTTTTCTTTTTTTTTTTTTATCAAAAATGAATGAAATGGAAAATGCAAAACTAGAAAATAAATAAAAATCAAAGACAAATCTTAATAAACGAAATTAAACAAAAGCGTCAATAAAATACTTAAAAGAATATTTTTATACTGGAGAAGGTGCCTTCAAATAGTTGGATAGAGATTATCAATCATAAGCATCAACCTGACCATGCTGTTACGGAAACACGACTGCATTTTTTTTTTTTTGAAAAAAATCTCCATCGTTCATTTAAAAAGACTGAATCCGTCTGTATAACGGGTACAATAAAATTTGGGCATTCATCATTTCAGACCTGCCTGTTAGTGCTTTTGAGGCCATATTTTGCTAGACTGTGGGCCACCATGTTCCCTAGTTTTGGAACGTGCCTGATATTGGTTTCATCCATGCAAGCCAGCTTTTCTATCCCTTCTTCGATGATAATGCCAACTGGTGAGAGATCAGGCTCCTTTGATTTTAACTTCTTTACCACAGTTAGACTATCACCCTCCAATATTATCTTCCTAAAACCCAGTTGCAGTGCGAAAGAGGGGGCTTCACAAGCCGACCTTGCTTCAACCTGAAAAGCATCAGTTGTAAAAGTTGTAAACATTATTCTGCATGTGGTAGCGCCCAACACTGTCCCCATACCATCTCTAATAACGATTCCAATCCCTCCACTCTTCTGCTGGTTGTCGAAAGAACAATCGAAGTTAAGTTTTTCCTTCTTCTGGGTACGACCATGGATTCAAATAACGGTTTAATAGCGAAAGAACGATCGTAAATTTATAATACCGTCTTCCGTCACCGTTATTAAATAAAAAATGGTTGAGAAATTCATTCACAGTAAAAAAGAAGAGTAACGATCGTAAAATAACGGCGTCATGGGTAATAGTGGCAATAACGGATCGTTATTGTCACTATTCTAATTTTTTTACTCACGGATCTAATATTTCAAGAAAAAAAAATTTTAAGTCTGCAAAATAAAATAATAAACCTGTAAAAGTAAAAGTAAAAGTCAAAGCAAAAAATAAAGCTCACAATCTCAGATCTTTATCATCAAAATAAATTTAAAAACGAGCTAGAAAATAGATCAATTATTTCAAGTTTCAACCATTCAATCGACATTTTCGGCATTCAAATTCAAATCAGCCTCAAGTTTTCAATCAACATTCAAGATCAAATAAGGTAAGAAAAGAAAGTTAAATTACTTTTTTTTTTGTAAAATTTTTGTAAAATGATCTATTGTGTCTTGTGAGAGTTTGAAAGATGAACGAGGTATCTGTAGATACTAGGCAAGTCAGCAAGTGATAGTGATAAGGGATGTAAGAGAAAATGAGAGATGAAAAAAAAAAGAGATAAGAAAAAAATTTTGGAAAGCCAAGGAAGGTAGCACGAAGAAGAAGATGAACAGAATAGAGTATTAGCGTTTCTAGAAGAGTCTGCCGTTTGCTAGAAAGAATTAAACAAATTTGAGATATTAGGCACGTGCGGAGAGATTGGATGGGGTGGGGAGGATTGGGTGTGGTGGGGTGTTGGGGGGAAGGTGGGGGAGGGATTGGGTGTGCTGATGTGTTTGGAGGGTGGGATTGAATTTTTTTATTTAATTTTGTAATTAATTTTTGAAAATTTTTTAGATAAAATTTAATTAGTGGTTTTGAAAATTTATAATTAAAAAAAAGAGATTAATAATTTAATATAATATATAGAGATTTTAAATGAAAAATTTTGATAAATTTTTTGGTATAAGTTAGATGAAAAATAATTAAAATTAAATATTATATTTTGATTGTGTTATATATTAATTTATAATTTTGTATCTGAATTTTAATATTTTTTTGTTGTTTTGATATTTATATTATTGTCAATTCTTTTGATATTAGATTAATTCTTGTTATTTTTGTGTAATTATTGAATATTGTGTTTATTATATAATTATTAAAAGTTGTTTGTGATAAAAAAAAATTATATCAATTAGTGTATCAAAAAAATTAAGTTACTTAACAAATTTAGCATTTTATGATTTATTACTCTTATTAAGATTAAAAACTAAAAAATAAAAAATATAGGTTTGAAAATTTTATTAAAATATAAGTTTGAAAACTTTTAATTTTTGAAATTTTTTTAGATAAAATCTAATTAGAGGGTTTGAAGATTTATAATTAAAAAAAATTAAGAGATTAATAATTTAATATGATATACATAGAGATTGTAGATGAAAATTATTGATAAATTTTTTATATAAATTAGACGAAAATTAATTAAAATTAAATATTATATTTTGATTGTGTTAGATATTAATTTATAATTTTGTATATGAAATTTAATAATTTTTTTGTTGTTTTGATATTTATACTGTTGTCAATTCTTTTGATATTAGATTAGTTCTTATTATTTTTGTGTAATTATTGAAGATTGTATTTATTATATAATTATTTGAAGTTATTTGTGATAAAAAAAATTAATATCAATTAGTGTATCAAAAAGATTAAGTTATTTAATAATATTCTTAAGATTAAAAACTAAAAATTAAAAAATTTAGTGTAAAATCAATTTTTAATGATGTAATAAGTAATATTAATATTTCTAAATATAAGTTTATTTTGTTTTTATACAAAATAGTAAGTATACTACCACATAAAGAATTCCCGAGTAAAGGAGTAGAGGGTGTGCCAAGTGATGATATAGGTTGACATTTTGGAACACTTGTGCCAAATACAAAAGGAAATGTTTCATGTAAACTTTGTGGTAAAATTGTAAAAGGAGGAATAACACATTTCAAAGAACACATTGCTCATAAAACTAGCAATGTTGCACCGTGCCCTAATGTTGCTGGTATGTTATTTTTTTAATTTCTTTGAAAATATTATTGTTAATTTCTTAATAAAAATTATAAAATTACATAAGCATGTGCAACTCATTTTCTCTTTTTTTTTTTTAACTATATTATTAATAGGTATAGTAAGAGAAAGTATGATGAAACTCTTTCAAGAAAGCAAATAAAAAAAAACTGACAACAAAAGGAGAAAAAATGAATTTTTATCACAGTTAAAAGGGGAAGATGATTATGAAATATTTATTGATGAAGACATTGCTACTAGACAAGCCGTGCGAGATAGTATCCAATCACAACTTAAGTGGCACAGAAAACAAGAATTCAAACAAAGAACTAGTGGTTGGAGTAACATATATGAAGAAGGACGAAGCTCTCATGGTTCAGTTGCTGAATATTTTGAAGAAAAAACAAGGAAATCAACTCCAAATGAGTCTGAATTTTCTTTAAGGGGAGCTATTCCTGAATTGGTTAGAAGTAAAAGTTCAAGACAACAAAAAATAAGTGATTCATTTCTAAAGACATCAAGAAGAGAAATGGGTGAATCAGTATAAAAATTTTTGATATATGATCGACTTCCTTTTTAATTAGCAAATTCTCCATGCTTACATAATTTGATTTCTGTGGCAGCAGAAGTTAGCCAACATGTAAGACTTCCAACACCTTA